TTTGTTTTTTGTATGTTTTGTATCTTGGCATGCTTGTGGATCATTTTACATGTTAAAAATTATTGTAGCTTTAACTAAATAATAAAAGTAATTTAAAATTAAACATGTATATTTAACATTTTGTACTTTTTGTTGAGTGTTTGTTCTTTGTTCAAAGTTTTTTTTTTCAATTTTTGTTTTTTCTTTGTGGTAGGTTTACTTGATCTAAACAACTTTTGTTCATTTTGTTTTTGTTTTTTTTTTCACTTTTTTAGTACATTATACAGCATTTGCATTTTTACTAACAATTGCCCGCTTAAAGGTTTTTGTTTTGTTTTTAATATACTTTGTTGATTTTTTTTAATGTGTGTTTGCACAACCTTTGCTTATTTTTGAATAAATATGCATTTATAGTAAGAAATAAATTAATGCTTTTTATTATTATTAATTTCATTTTTAATACACAAAAATTACTTAGGTTCTTTGCACATAAGTAATTCATTTTTCTTTTCTTTTTTTATGCATTCTTCAATACGTTTTATACACATTTATATATATATATATAACTGCATATATGAGTTTTTGTTTTTAAGTATTTTGTCGAAATGAGTTCTTTACTCATTTGTATGGGTTAAATTACAAATTGTTTTTATTTAAAGGTTTATTTAAGCGATTCAGCCGCGCAATTGCAGCAATTTTGTGTTTTCATAACAACATATTTCTTTTTTGTTTTTGGTTTTTTTTTTATTTCATTAACTTAACATTTGAAACAAGGATTGTGTGATTTTTTTGCAAAAGAAATATTTTGAATCTTCATGAGCCCTAAGAAGAGTCAAAAACATTCTTTTTCTAATGGAAATAAATACGAATAAGAGTTTTTATTTTTTTTTTTTGCAAAACAAATTTGTTTGAAATAATTGAATTCTTGTTGAACAATTGAAAACACAAATTGCTGCAAATTGACGTTGTTCGCTTTGAAGGATTTAAAAACAATTTGTAGTTTTTCATTAAGTGTTGTTTTTTGTTTTAGTTTTACGCTTTTCTTTTTCTTTTTGTTTTTATTGTATGTTGTTTTTATATATATTTTTTTAGTTTCTCTTTCCCGCAACATTTGCATTCAATTTTGCCTTTTCATTTTCATTTTGCATTATTTTGCATTACGGCGAAATTTCTTAGAGAGGGGAAAACGCTCTGTTAAAACTATAAACGAATTGGAATTCCGCACAAATTTGCTTATATTGGCATCTAGATATATCCGTCACGCCTGACATTGGCTTTAATACTGTTCTCCAATTTCAAATTGTAAACAAAATGTAAGTAGCAAAAAACTTAAACAACTAAAAATAACTACAATTGTTATATGATACGAATATGAATACGTATATATGTATATATATAAATATACAAGCAAAAATACATATAGATATATATAAAACAAATAGCCCGGTTTTTACAAAAGTATAATTAA